TGGTGGTTTTTTCTTGTGATCAGTGAGTTGATGAGTGAACTGCATCAACAATAATGCATGATGATATTCAATGCAGGTGGTCCAATAGGACCTGCAGTTTTGTACTGAGTCACGCCAGCGGTAGCTTACTGCTATGTGGATTATTTGAGTCAGCGTACCAGTTAAATTGGTGCGCCACGTTGCTGTCCGTTGAGAGCTGTGACGGAAGTCGGTGCTAGATAGGAACAGATGATCTGCGCAGAACCGAAGAAGTCGATCGCCATTATCTGTTCGCTGGCAGGACAGTGTAGAATGACCGCCTAGAAAAGCTTCCGATGCGCTCAGTTTTCCAACTTGAGCGTTAAATGCACCTGCGAGAACAACTATATCGGAGCTCCGGCTCAACCGAATGAATTCAGTGAGTTTATCATAAAACTCGCCCTTTTGTGCGTCATAGCTGTAGTTGGTCGGTGCATTTGCTAAAATGCTGAACAAATACGTTTTGGTGTTGCTTCCTTTCCTGACGCTGATAGACACTTGGAGCCACACCGCACATAAACGGCTGTTGACAGGGCTCTAATCGAGTAGTGCGGTTTCAGCTTTTCTATTGAGTATATTGCCCACACCACGCTGGTCAACTAAACGGGCTTCGTCATCACCTGACGTGCAGAAGAAGAACCTGGAAGACACTTATATTACGCTTATAGTACTAGGATCCTGGATTCGAGTCTCCGACACGCCGCAGACATCACTCACTATTGTACGCGCCAGACACGCTTGTTGACCTATCTGCATCAAAGTCCTCACGTTGAAGGCTCCCAGATTCAATGTTTGACGAGGCTTCAGAATCTGCAATCTATTTTGTGGTAAACAACTTACCGGGCTACTTGGCTCCTTTGGCGAGTGACGAACAAGTTGTCTGAAGGAGTGTTATGGGTTGGAAGAAGGGGGAAAGGGAAAGGGTTGGGTATGGAAGATAAAGACTTAAACAATGGTTGGAATGTCTGAGCAGTAGCCCACTTATCCCTGCCCACCCTGCGCGATGCAATGATGCAATGATTATCCTGCGCGACGACTGATGCAGTATGGAATTATTTTTTGTTTTTGTATACATTTTAGTTTGATGGTCGGGTACTTCCAGCATTTCCAGCCTCTAAGCAGGAGAATGATTAGGGTTCTCGTCCAAAGCCTTTAGTTCTAACAAGAACCTAACCGCAATGCAGCGGGCAAAGCGAAGTGAAGGCCCATTTACTTGGATCGATTACTCCCCTACTATTTTACCGACTGAGACGCTAACTCTAATCAAACCTCCAACCTGGAGGACCAGGAGACGACCTCGTCCGATCTCTACCCTTCGACCTTCCAGGCATGATTAGATCGTTGGCTGGACAAAAGCTATCCTGTGTAGTTAGTTGGGTCAGAGAGATGCACAAGCCAACCACTTTAAGGTGCCGTCTCGTCGTGATGATCCATTAAACCACTAAACGGGCACTTTTATGTGCCGGTTTTGGTTGCTGTATCATGACTGTTCATTCGGATTAGAAAGAAGTGTCAAGGTGAAAACAGAGAACTCATAAAGACTAATTGCAACATTAGTCTTTTTAACCTTGATACTTTTTTCTAATCTAAATGGGCAGTCATAATACAGCAACCAAAACCGGTACAGAAAAGTGCCGGTTTAATGGTTGTAAAAGCTGAAAATATTACCGGTGTTTGTTTCGTTTGCTTTACCTGCTATGTAATGTGATGTATATATATACATATATATATATGATGCAATGCTGAATAAGTAATATGTATTTCTTGCATTTTTAACTTAGGTTGATGACGACTGCAATTGGCGACAACAGGGGGTCTCAATTGTGTAACTAAATAGGAAATTCACCTTTACCATGTCTTCCCTCGTTTATGAATTTACTATATTGCTGCTGATGACAGTGCTGGTCGGTGAGTTGCTTCCTGTTTGATAACTTTCGAACTTAACTACGTTCCCAATGTTTGGTTCATCTCGATGTACAATGTTAGTGGTAAACAATTGAAGACTAGTCGATTTACATTATTTTTTAGTTTCCCCTATTTTCTACTCAGTTCAGCATTTTAGTCGCTAAACCAAAAGAGGAAGCTTAGGTTTTAATAACTCCGGACTGGTTTCTTTCATTGTGATTAAAATTAAGAAAAAATTGTAACGTGTATGCGGTTTCTCAACACCCTTGCATATCATCAGCTGAGGTTGTATCCAACCTGCAAGTTAAGAAAAACTTAATCAACATTACTTGGTCACAATCGGTTTGTGTGTGTGACTTGTACAATTTCTCCTGTGAACCTAGTCGACCTGTCTGTCCACGTGTTCAGAAGTTGAATGAATGAACCCAACTGGATTGAAAAACGGTGAATTCTCTCTGTACTGTTTCTCTATATTGTTATTAGTCCATACATACCTCGCATCATCATTCAATCCGTATTTTATGTCCCCAGATGATTGATCGACTTCTCATGAGAGCTCTAAATTTTTCCTGCTTTGTTTGAAGCTGTGGGGTTTTACTTTATCTTTTTTCAAATTAGCTCACAAAGTTTTTGCATTAAAAATTTTGGAATAGATCGTCAGCATGCCATTCTATTTCACCCGGTTCAGAAAAAATGAACCCATTACACTCAGTGACTATATGTATTTCTGATCCAAGCTGTTACATACTTTGTTCGGTTTTGTTTATCCCTCTGGTTTACCAGTTTTTCCGCATCCCTTTGCAATATTTGTTCCTCTGTATCGCCTCGAATCCGTCTTGTTTCAGGTTTCTCAATGGAATTTATGGTCCCAATGACTCACCAGTATTCCATTGGTGTGTTTGCGATCTACGGTTTCCGTCTTGCCTATTTTATGGGGGCCATCTTCGGTGGTCTTCTCTGGAAAGGGCTATTTCAACGGAAGAAATACTACGTGTTTGGCGTTCAGCTTGGTTGTTTGTTGCTGTTTGTCGGATACATGTGTATGTGGGCTTCCTCGGGCAGTCGGGAAATGAGCTGGTTCAATTTGTTCTTGTTTATTTTCGGTCGCTTTCTCGTCGGTTTTGCCAGCTCCTTTTTCTACTGTGTTGCCGCAGTTCATCTGTTTGAAAACGCACCGGATGCGTGGCGAGGCACTGTCGGTTGTTTTCCGTGGTTGGCCGTAACTCTGGGGATCACAACCGTACAAAGTACAATTTTACATTGTCCTTGGACTTCGTGGATTTTTGTCTGTGCCTTTCTGGCTTTCGTGCTGAATATTCTTTTATGGTCGATCCCTGAGCCGGAGAAACGTCTGGCACATAATTCCGCCTATTTACATGATTCTGAACCTTTGCTCAGGAACTCTGACTCAGTAAGTTTGGGTCAGATTATCGTCATGTTTGGCATTCACAGCAGGCACACTGAGACACATCAGTTTGATATGTATGTGTTCATAGAACGAGTACTAAACTACACACAGATTACAATGAGTTCTTTTAGTGATTCACAACTTCCATGAAGGGGACTAGGAGTATACAATGAAGAACTTATTTGTGGACTCCTCATTTGTACACTTTCTGGTAGGTTGCACTTTCCAAACGATCCATCGGCACTTTCGCGCGTCTACCCCAGTGGAGTCTTGTGTATTTCACCACTCCAAATCCCAGGTATTAGGTTACTGGTTCATGTGAATGAGCAGTGGGTCCCCGTGGCTTTGGGTGAGTATTTTAAGAAAGCTTATAAATCTATCTCAACGCTTAGAACTGTGCTTACCATTCCTGAAGTTCAACCAGGTACAGTCTCACAACCTGGTTTTCGTGAACGGTACTCTGCTGGCCCTCATTCGCATTCGTAAACCGTACCNACCGTACCCCCGCGTGTCAGTTGGCTTTCATTCACTTAAGGGAACAAACAAGCCACCCGTATCTTCATCATTTCGGTTCTAATTGAATGCGGAGGAGCAGCGAGTTATTTGTCCGGTTATCGATGTGTTAAAAGAATTTTACTCATTTGATTGAGTAGTGAAAGCATTATACAACCCAAGATCTACGGTTTCCAGGTTGATCAGGCGATAGAACGAAACCCGACACATCATTGTCCCTCGGTTAGTGATTGAACTTCTGCGACAAGCGAGGTACTATCATGAAGAATATACCGATGTCTGCGATGAAATCGATTTGTACCTGTATCATCCTTGAAAAAGGAATGTGCCTTTCTTGGTTCAATAGTACTCTAAAACGCATGATGGATTGCCTTGCAAGTTAGGCTTTGGCCAACCAAAGACTCTTTGTGAATCACCCAATAAAATTCACTTGCTGTGGCCCGGGTAACCTGGCAGTATTCCACCTACGTACAAATCATGAGCAGATTTCCTTTTTGTAAAGATTGTTGCATGCTGCTTTCTTTGGTGTACAATCTAGACTCTCAAAATATCACGATTAGTGCACATGCGATAGAATGTGTTAGCGCGGAGTTCACAGAACTCGTCACGACACAAGCATGCTCACATCGCGCAAGGCAAGCCGAATGCGGAGTGGATGACTACGGAACGAACCAGCCAACAGCTGTCCGATCGACCAATCGGAGTATCAAGGGCGCAATCTGATTGGTGCGTCACTATGTCGCTCTCTCAATTTACTCTATATATTTGCGTATCGCATCACCTAATGCACTCTGACTATTGTCTCTGGTTGTGTTCTCTCCGCGTTGTTGTTGGGGGTTAAGAGAGAAGTGCTTGTCTCATCCGTTCGTCTAGGCCGAAAACAAGAGGATGAAAGATAGTAAACTGCGTTCGTTCGCGATACACCATTCTGATTTCTTAGGCGAGTATTTTTTGGGAGTGCACGGAAATATGCAAAATTCGAGATTTATATAAGACAAATTTAAGGTATAATAGATCCCGCTATATAAGCCGGTAATACGGGACCTGGTTGAGCTAGAACTCCACTACTCTTAAGTTGAAGCAAAATTACTCTCACCCCTGACCTGTGACTCACCACTTTGGGTTGCAGGACTCAGGTTATGGATTCCCATTGAAAAATAGCACTCTTCCCTAACTGCGTCGTTTAATTCTTTTTATTCATCAGCAAACTACCGGTATAATGAAATTAATTAAAACATGGTCGCTATGGTTTTCATGAAAAGTAGTCCATAATAAATCATGCAATCTCCCTCTTCGATTAAAATGGAGTTCGGTAACGACGATGCCGCGTCACTTCGAAATTTTCTTCTTTTCTGTAGCACTGTCGCCTACAACGGTTCTCCCATATTTTCCGATAATCTGAAAACCATCTGCAAACAATACCTCTCCCTGCACCACTTCCAGATAGACGCTGTCATCTGGATAGTCAGTCTGAGTTTTAGGCTAACACGTTCAGGCAGACTGTATAGCAATCAGGCTCTCGAAACATGTATGATCTACAGGAAGAAAGCAGAAATTGGGTCTTGGTCTATGCGGACCTTGTCGCAATCCGAAAACTTTGGACAACAAAGAGCTATCTGCATAAAAGTATCAAGAAAACTGCTTTTCATATATCTGAAACAACCGGGGTCTGTTACCTCTCTCGGTTTATAGGATACCAAATTCGACATCTATTGAGGTAGGTAGTGACAATGATAGTGTCTAATGTGTTTTTATGATATGCAAAATTTGATCATCGTACTGAGTCACGTAGATCAAATTGACTTGTCAGTCCGACTACGAATACAATGTGTGGTGCACTATCCTTTTTCATCCCCATTCTCTCCGTCAGGATACTGAAAACTTTACAGCGGTTTCCTCAACCGGGTTCGTTGGAACACTGTCACCAGAACCGTACCATCATTTTTTAGGTTACTAGTTGTTTGGTGAACTGAACTGCACTGTTAACACCCTACCGGTCCGTATGCACCTTTCTATACGCAAAGTAAAGCCACTTTTGTTGTCTTTACACTTATCTACTCCAGAGTTTGTCTGTTCTCGATAAAAGCCGCCCACCTACTTTAGAACACAGAATGTGACTTTTTTGTTTGTGGTGCACCCCCCCCCCACTAATTTTTTTCTCTTCTCTTAAACTTATTCCGTNNNTTACTAAACACCAGTGATACCGAGAACACGTCAAAACCATCTGAGCTTGACTTTTACACTCACATGCAACTTACGATGCGTTACAAATCCAGGTCTCGATTCCACATCCTCGTATGGCTAATGGTACTGCATCAGTTCACCGGAGCTCATGCCCTAACCTATCNAAGCACTGTTCGAATACGCTCCACAACGTTGGCCGGTGGGTTATGCGATTGCAGTCGGATTGCCCCAACTTGTGGGTGGTAGTGTGGCCTGTTTGCTGTCCAATCGTGTTCCATCTGCAAATCTGTTACAAATCAGCTCCGCTGTTATGGCTGGGGCCCAATTTGTGTTGAGTTGTTTATTCACGGTAAGTGTTGCAATTAGCCTATGATCCATAAGGTCTACTTTTTAGTACCCCTTTATGCAGACCTCTTCAATCAGATGTGGTGTCAATTTCACTGGAACTACACATACATCGAAAGTCCAAAAATTTCTCCTCTCCCAGCTTATCGAACACCTGACACGCATCTGCGATGTGTGTTTTCGCTTTTTCCATTCGTTACTTTCCAAGTCAAATAGTAGTGTTGTGAGTTACTACTCTCAAATGTGAGTAGTATGCAAAATAGTTGGCAATTCCCTTCAATGATCACAAAATAACAAGACCACTGGGGGCGAATTGTTGTGCCCCAAAGAATAGCTACAGACTGCTCCATTCATTACCCGGTGTGCTGTCGGGAATCGCTATGCCATGTTTCAAATGAAATATCTGTTATATGTATGCCAAATTATTGACATCCGAACTGTAATCTGCAATAAACAACTATCCTCGACCAGGCACCGCCTTGTGGAATTATAACAGTAGTAGTAGTTGTTGTGTTGTGGAGTGCTACTCACACTTATGCGTAGTTTTTATACACCAAGAAGCGGTTGTTGGATTTCTGTGGAATTCGCAAGTAGATTAAAGAATTCACTAATATACCCACAAAAAATAGGCACTTACTGTCGGACCATTCCATTTACGTGCGTGATTATGAGAATTATGATGACCTGTTCTAAATGAAACGTTTTGTTGTATTTACGCCAGTTTATCAATACCCTTACTGTTGTTAGGGATAGACAACTCTCCTCGACCCGGCACTGTTTTGTGAACTTATAACTGTAGCTTTGTCCACCCTGATGGGTGAACTTTCATCATTGTACACTATATTTGTGCATGCAAATCTACGAAATGAAACTGAAGTTACTGGATAACGGATTTGTCAATGAAACGAGCAATTACGTAATTCTGTGGAAGCTTTCTCGTTGTCAATAAGTAAGACAGAATTGTGATGTGAAGAGGTAAGTGCAAATGAAAGTTTGAACCTCGAGCGTGTGGATGATGTCGATACAGCTCTTGAAAA